GAAATTCCATCATTACTGTGTAGACTGAAATTAGGACTAAAAAGTGCTCAACCCGATCCAAATGGTGTCCCTTCTCAAGTTGGCAACCCTACCACTGTATGAACTGTGCTATACAAATAAACTTCCAAAAAAATACAGAAACCCCATGCATTACTATTATTATTATTATTATTAACAATATTTTCATTCAGACACACAAAGAGTCCATTTAACACAAAAATACAGACAAAAAGCAAACAAACATACAATAAATGCAGAAAAGTGGGGCTTAAAGTACTTCTCACTAAGCTGACTCTGAAACGATATTATTTAACAGTGTGATATTAAAAGTGACTTGGCAGAGTTTCCAGAGTGTCGTTGGCCTCGGTCCAGAGACAGAGTTTGAAACACATGGAGTTTAGGATGGTTTCATGTGAACGGGCCTCGCACACCATCATTTCCTGAGGTGTCAGACTCTACGATACTGTCGACCACTTTACTCTCGCTCTTTACTTTTGTATGTGTTCGCTTTTTATATTTTCTGTACAGACATAACACAAAACAGACACGGCTCCTGTGGGATATTCTCGCTTTTTTATACCAGAGAATCAAATCTACATAGTTTTAACTAGCAAGAGCAGTGAGATTTGTCCATCCATCCATCCATCTTCTTCATCCGTTGCCGGGTCGCGGGGGCAGCAGTCTAAGCAGAGAGGCCCAGACTTCCCTATCCACACACACCTCCTCCAGCTCGTCCGGGGGGACCCCAAGGCGTTCCCAGGCCAGCTGAGAGACATAGTCCCTCCAGCGTGTCCTGGGTCTTCCCCGGGGCCTCCTCCCGGTGGGACGTGCCCGGAACCCCTCCCCAGGAAGGCGTCCAGGAGGCATCCTGAACAGATGCCCGAGCCACCTCAACTGGTTCCTCTCGACGTGGAGAAGCAGCGGCTCTACTCTGAGCTCCTCCCGTGTGACTGAGCTCCTCACCCTATCTCTAAGGGAGCGCCCAGCCACTCTGCGGAGGAAGCTCATTTCGACCGCTTCTTGTAAAGAAAAAAATATACAATCTTTAGCTTTAGCATAATAAAGAAGCAAGAACAACATCTATGACGTTAGTATGATACAATAAATGAGTATAAAATCTCTAGCTTTAGCATTATAAAGAAGCTAGTATAACATTGCTAGCTTTAGCATAATAACGAAGAAAGTATAAAATATATTGTAGTGCAAGAAATATATAGTTGTATACTAACTGTGCATGTTAGCGGCATGAGGGTCTGGGCCAGTGCAAAGTAAAATTATACAGGTCACATGTGGTTCTATATATTGCACATTCCAACATTCGTTCAAGTTCTCGTTGTACAGTCTGACAGCAGCAGGAAGGAAAGACCTGCAGAAGCTCTCCTTCACACAGCGAGGGGGAGGAAAGAGTTAAAAGTGGCACATGGCGACGCAGCAGGAGCCGACGGGCCGATAGCATTCAGTAACACCTCTGCGGCCAAGTGCTAGCTCTGCTCTGCGTGCGGCGGTACCTTCAAGTTCATTTAGAGCCAATATATTGTACCATTGTGAGGATTTTTTTATACAAGACCATATGTTTGACGTTAGCTTATCCCACCGCAGCGACTCAAAGGGACTTCCTGTTAAGTTCATTATTTATTCCAGTCTTGTTTCCACTGCGTTCCTTGTGCAAGAAAAGTGAAATCAGGCGTTTACATACGTTTGCCTTTGGAATACTCAAGGGAAGGTTTATTTGTAAAGCACAGTTCATACACAAAGCAACTCAAAGTACTTAGCAAAATAAGATAGACACAAGGCATTAAAATCATTAATAATCATGTTAAAAAGAATAAAGAGAAAATTCTTCAGTTGTTGGAGCTAAATAGAAATGTTTTAACCTAGATTTGAACATTGTCAGAGAAGACGTCTGTCTCACATTTTTAGGAAGACCGTTCCAGATTTTATCTGCAAATGCATGAATCTGAAATGTTGACTCCACGTTTAGTCCTGACTCTGGGCATCATTAGGAGACCAGTCCCTGTGCTCCTCAGAGTCCCAGCAGGAGGCCAGTCCCTGTGCTCCTCAGAGTCCCAGCAGGAGGTCAGTCCCTATGCTCCTCAGAGTGCCAACAGGAGGCCAGTCCCTGTGCTCCTCAGAGTCCCAGCAGGAGGCCAGTCCCTGTGCTCCTCAGAGTCCCAGCAGGAGACCAGTCCCTGTGCTCCTCAGAGTCCCAGCAGGAGGCCAGTCCCTGTGCTCCTCAGAGTCCCAGCAGGAGGTCAGTCCCTGTGCTCCTCAGAGTCCCAGCAGGAGGCCAGTCCCTGTGCTCCGCTTTTATCTTAGTTCACAAACATAGTGGTGTTGAGATAAACCTCTGAATCAATGTAGAATCAAATGAAGCCCAAAGCCGCAGCCGCCGCAGCCGCCGCCGCCCGGTTCCATCAACACAGATCAATATGATTTATTCACTGAGTTTGTTTATTCTGAGACGACTATATATGTCAATCGGGAGCAGTTCGTTTGCAAGTGTGACAGGTGAAAACAATTCTGAACACATACATTTCTCTGAGAAAAATCCAAGAAAAAATGGAGTCCCAGAGCAAACAATTCCAGTTTTTATGGTAATTTTATGGTAATTTAATAACAATATTCCAACATCCTATTTGCAAGTTAAAGCCTCTTTATTAAAGGGGCTTGTCCTGGTTCAGCTCAAAGATTCCGGACATGTAACCACATTTATGGACTCTGGTCATCTGCCTCTTATGGACCAATGGCTCTACACTGCAAAAAGTGATTCAATCAAAATAAGTCAAAAATAGCTCAAATTAGGCAAAATGTGTCTTAATTCGAGCACAAGATTTGCCAATGAGACAAAGCAAAATTATTTTATTTTAAAAAGATACAAGAAATGTCTTCTTTGGAATGAGAAAATAAAGCATTGGAGAATCTTGTTTCAACACAGTCAGAATGTGTCAGATTAAGATAAAAACCACTCAATTCAAGCATTTTTCACCTCATATTTGGTCATTTTTTGCAGTGTTTGATTCTCTGATTTTTGTTGGTGAATCGACAGCTTTATACAGTCCTCTGAGATATCTACTGTTGTGATTCAGGGCTAAATGTAGTCAAATTTTCCACCAGAGCTTGTAACCATAGCAACACACTGTCCATTAGCATCAGTTAGCATTTGGTAGCTTTAGCTGTTTTTCAAGTGACATGAGTCAGTTTTAGCACGTTTTAACTGTGAGTTTGGGTAAAGTTCTTGTAGATTCAGAATCCTGGGAGTCTGAGTGATGTTTTTTCCCTGTTTTTTGGATCTGCTGCGATTGTGCGTCTTCATTTATGACTTTTTTAGGAGTCACACGATGCAGTGTTAGAATAATTTATGCTAAGAATAAAAGGGTGCAGCGGTTTTCTCATTCGTTTATATTTCCTCTGGGACTGAGACCGTGTTTTCACTTAACAAAATCACTTGTAATCTTTGGCGTCGGGATTTTTCCTTTTGCCCAAAGCACCATCTGCAGCTCAGCATGTAGTAGTTTATATATATTTTGATACTATCCATTTTAGCTTGTTTTACCTGAAAAATAAGCACGTTTCTGTCCATCTATAGAGCGATTAGCATCCTGGGTTAGAGCCGTTTTTCAAATTTGGAAGAAGAAAATTAAAATGAATCTGATTTGTCCACGTACCTTATAAATTGCAAATGTGCAATAGTAAAAAAAACACAGTGAATTGGGTGAAAAACTAAACATTTTTGGGGGGACTGTTGGAAAACTACATTGGTTTGAATGGGAGCCGTCAAAAGGACGTCTCTGAACTGCCAAAACTGATAAAAAATGAGGTAATAATTGCTTGAATCGAGTGGTTTTTATCTTAATTTGAGTACATTCACCTCCAGGCCTTTCTGTATGGAATTTGCATGTTCTCCCAGTGTCTGTGAAGGTTTTCTCTGGGTGCTCCGGTTTGCCCTCCCACTAAAAATACGTACAATACAATACAAAAGATGCTTGTTTTCTCATTCCAAGGGAGACATTTCTTGTATCTTTTTAAAACATTTTGCAGTGTAGGTAGATTCTAGTAGTTTTAGAATCTGGGAGTCCTCGATAACCAGCCAAGAAAGGAGTTATAAAATGTGTTATTAGGTCGTGTTGAAACAAAAAAGCTTCTTGCTCGAGCATGAAATTTAGCTTTAGTGAATCTGTTTAGTCAATTATACAATCACACACCACACGACGAACCACAAACAACCATTTTACCACCGCAGAAAGTCCAGGAGAGAGAAGAGGGAGGATCAGGCTGAGAGAGAGGGGGAGAGAGAGAGGGAGAGAGAGAGGGAGAGAGAGAGAGAGAGAGGGAGAGACCAGAGAGAGAGAGAGAGAGAGAGAGGGAGAGACCAGAGAGAGACCAGAGAGAGACCAGAGAGAGACCAAAGAGAGACCACAGAGAGACCAGAGAGAGACCATAGAGAGACCAGAGAGAGACCATAGAGAGACCAGAGAGAGACCATAGAGAGAGACCAGAGAGAAACCAGAGAGAGACCATAGAGAGAGACCAGAGAGAAACCAAAGAGAGACTAGAGAGAGAGAGACCAAAGAGAGACTAGAGAGAGGGACCAAAGAGAGACTAGAGAGAGAGAGACCAAAGAGAGACTAGAGAGAGAGACCAAAGAGAGACTAGAGAGAGGGACCAAAGAGAGACTAGAGAGAGAGAGAGACTAGAGAGAGAGACCAAAGAGACTAGAGAGAGAGAGAGACCAAAGAGAGACTAGAGAGAGAGAGACCAAAGAGAGACTAGAGAGAGAGAGACCAAAGAGAGACTAGAGAGAGAGAGACCAAAGAGAGAGAGTAGAGAGAGACCAGAGAGAGTGAGAAAGAGACCAGAAAGAGACCATAGAGAGAGCGAGTGAGTGAGCCGTGCCAACTTAAGAACAACCACATGGTGTAAATAAGTTCATCTGGTTTGATAAGAGAAGTCTGAGTCTGAGTGTGAACTTTTGGACCACACAAGAAGACTATCTCTGCAGTTCACCCACACACCACCGGGGGGCACTGGAAATACACAATCTCACAGTTATCAGTTAACGACCTGCATTCTTACTATTCAAGCGTTTAGAAATGAAACGGACGGTTTGGAAAATGACCCCAGACTTTATTTCACTACAGCCTTTGTCCCTGAGAGACCAGAGAGAGACCAAAGAGAGACGACAGAGAGCGCGACCAAAGAGAGAGTAGAGGGAGAGACTAGAGAGAGAGAGAGAGACCAAAGAGACACCAGAGCGAGACCAAAGAGAGAGACCAAAGGGAGACCAGAGAGAGACCAAAGAGAGAGACCAAAGGGAGACCAGAGAGAGACAGAAACCCGAGATAGACCAGGAAGAGACCAGAGAGAGAAACCAGAGAGAGACCAGAGAGAGACCAAAGAGCGACCAGAGAGAGACCAGAGAGAGACCAGGAGAGACCACAGAGAGAGTCCAGAGAGAGACCAGGAAGAGACCAGAGAGAGACCAGGAGAGACCAGAGAGAGAGACCAGAGAGAGACCAGGAGAGACCAGAGAGAGAGACCAGAGAGAGACCAGGAGAGACCAAAGAGAGACCAGGAGAGACCACAGAGAGAGACCAGGAGAGACCAAAGAGAGACCAGGAGAGACCAGAGAGAGAGACCAGAGAGAGACCAGGAGAGACCAAAGAGAGACCAGGAGAGACCACAGAGAGAGACCACAGAGATACAGTGCCTTGCGAAAGTATTCGGCCCCCTTGAACCTTTCAACATTTCGCCACATTTCAGGCTTCAAACATAAAGATATAAAAATGACAATTTTTGTCAAGATTCAACAACAAATGGGACACAATCGTGAAGTGGAACGAAATTGATTGGATAATTTAAACTTTTTTAACAAATAAAAAACTGAAAAGTGGGGCGTGCAATATTATTCGGCCCCTTTGCGCAAATACTTTGTAGCGCCACCTTTTGCTGCAATTACAGCTGCAAGTCGCTTGGGGTATGTCTATCAGTTTTGCACATCAAGAGACTGGAATTCTTGCCCATTCTTCCTTGCAAAACAGCTCGAGCTCAGTGAGGTTGGATGGAGAGCGTTTGTGAACAGCAGTCTTCAGCTCTTTCCACAGATTCTCGATTGGATTCAGGTCTGGACTTTGACTTGGCCATTCTAACACCTGGATACGTCTATTTGTGAACCATTCCATTGTAGATTTGGCTTTATGTTTTGGATCATTGTCCTGTTGGAAGATAAATCTCCGTCCCAGTCTCAGGTCTTTTGCAGACTCCAACAGGTTTTCTTCCAGAATGGTCCTGTATTTGGCTCCATCCATCTTCCCATCAATTTTAGCCACATTCCCTGTCCCTGCTGAAGAAAAGCAGGCCCAAAGCATGATGCTGCCACCACCATGTTTGACAGTGGGGATGGTGTGTTCAGGGTGATGAGCTGTGTTGCTTTTACGCCAAACATATCGTTTTGCATTGTGGCCAAAAAGTTCGATTTTGGTTTCATCTGACCAGAGCACCTTCTTCCACATGTTTGGTGTGTCTCCCAGGTGGCTTGTGGCAAACTTTAAACGAGACTTTTTATGGATATCTTTGAGAAATGGCCACTCTTCCATAAAGGCCAGATTTGTGCAGTGCACGACTGATTGTTGTCCTATGGACAGACTCTCCCACCTCAGCTGTAGTTATCTGCAGTTCATCCAGAGTGATCATGGGCCTCTTGGCTGCATCTCTGATCAGTCTTCTCCTTGTTTGAGATGAAAGTTTGGAGGGACGGCCGGGTCTTGGTAGATTTGCAGTGGTCTGATACTCCTTCCATTTCAACATAATTGCTTGCACAGTGCTCCTTGAGATGTTTAAAGCTTGGGAAATCTTTTTGTATCTAAATCCGGCTTTAAACTTCTTCACAACAGTATCTCGGACCTGCCTGGTGTGTTCCTTTGTCTTCATGGTTCTCTCTGCGCTTTAAACAGAACCCTGAGACTATCAAAGAGCAGGTGCATTTATACGGAGACTTGATTACACACAGGTGCATTCTATTTATCATCATCAGTCATTTAGGACAACATTGGATCATTCAAAGATCCTCACTGAACTTCTGGAGTGAGTTTGCTGCACTGAAAGTAAAGGGGCCGAATAATATTGCACGCCCCACTTTTCAGTTTTTTATTTGTTAAAAAAGTTTAAATTATCCAATAAATTTCGTTCCACTTCACGATTGTGTCCCACAGTGGGACACAATCGTGAAGTGGAACGAAATTGAATCAATCTAGTCAAGTTAGAATCAACAACAAGTGGGACTCCCACTTGTTGTTGATTCATGACAAAACATTTAAATTTTATATCTTTATGTTTGAAGCCTGAAATGTGGCAAAATGTTGAAAGGTTCAAAGGGGCCGAATACTTTCGCAAGGCACTGTAGGTAAGTAAGTAAGTATGTAATCTTTATTTATATACCGCCTTTCACAAACCAGAGTCTGTGTCTCATTTGTTAACTGAAAGAGGACTGTGAGGTTCTTTATAAATCTAGACTTGTTCCTGGCCTCCGAAAAAGCCATGTTCCAGCTTCTTCCCTGTGGCAGAAGATATCGTTCTCTGAGATGCAGGACATCTGGGTATGCTAACATGCTAACAGCTTCTTTACAAAGCACTTAAAAGAATCTTGCACTTGTTTTTGTCGACAGATTCACTGTGACAATTGTTTCTTCTACTTTTCTTCATGGACTTGTCTGCTGCACACAGGGGACTTTTGTACATGTATTCCAATGGGGTTTTACTGCAAAAGGCAAAGAAACTGAATCTAAATCTGATCTATTAACAGTTTTTCCTTTGAACGCTTGTGACGCTTGAGAGACGGTCTTTTGAAGTCTGTAGTTTTGAGTCGCGGAGAGACTCATGCTGAAATATGACCAATTATGCAAATTTATTTCACTACATTTACATTTGTACTAAAGCCGAGAACACACTCTGTCAAACAGGCCAGGTCTCTCTCTCTCTCTCTATCTCCCTGTCTGTCTGTCTCTCTCTCTATCTCCCAGTCTGTCTGTCTCTCTCTCTCTCTCTCTATCTCCCTGTCTGTCTGTCTCTCTCTGTCTCTCTCTCTGTCTCTCTCTCTCTGTCTTTATCTATGTCTCTATCTATCTCTCTGTCTGTCTCTCTCTCTCTGTCTGTCTCGCTCTCTCTCTGTCTCTCTTTATCTCTGTCTCTCTCTGTCTGTCTCTCTCTCTCTGTCTCTCTCTGTCCGTCTCTATCTCTCTCTCTCTCTCTGTCTCTCTTTATCTCCGTCTCTCTTTATCTCTGTCTCTCTCTGTCTGTCTCTCTCTGTCCGTCTCTATCTCTCTCTCTCTCTCTGTCTCTCTTTATCTATGTCTCTATCTCTCTCTCTCTGTCTCTCTCTATCTCTGTCTCTCTCTGTCTGTCTCTCTCTGTCTGTCTCTCTCTGTCCGTCTCTATCTCTCTCTCTCTCTCTGTCTCTCTTTATCTCTGTCTCTCTCTGTCTGTCTCTCTCTGTCCGTCTCTATCTCTCTCTCTCTCTCTGTCTCTCTTTATCTATGTCTCTATCTCTCTCTCTCTGTCTCTCTCTATCTCTGTCTCTCTCTGTCTGTCTCTCTCTGTCCGTCTCTATCTCTCTCTCTCTCTGTCTCTCTTTATCTCTGTCTCTCTCTGTCTGTCTCTCTCTGTCCGTCTCTATCTCTCTCTCTCTCTGTCTCTCTTTATCTATGTCTCTCTCTATCTCTCTCTCTCTCTATCTATCTGTCTCTCTCTCTATCTCTGTCTCTCTTTGTCTCTCTCTGTCTGTCTCTCCATCTCTTTCTCTCTCCTCTCACTCTCTCTCCATCCGTCCCTGTGATCCTCAGAGTCCCAGCAGGAGTCCCAGTCCCAGTCCCCAGAGTCTCAGTAGTTCATACAGTACAGACCAAAAGTTTGGACACACCTCTCATTCAAAGAGTTTTTTTTTTATTGTCTTCATTGTGAAAATTATAGATTCACACTGAAGGCGTCAAAACTATGAATTCACTCATGTGGAATTATGTACGAACTAAAAAGTATGAAATAAGTGAAAATATGTGTTATATTCTGGTTCTTCAAAGTAGCTCCTTTTGCTCTGATACTGCTTCACTCTTGGCATTCTCTGGAAGAGCTTCAACAGGACCTGAAATGGTCTTCAACAGTCTTGAAGGAGTTCCCATGATGCTTAGCACTTGTAGGCCCCTTCACTCTGTGGTCCAGCCCCAAAACCATCTGGACTGGGTTCAGGTCCAAAACCATCTGGACTGGGTTCAGGTCTGGTGACTATGGAGGTCATCTGGCCCAGAACCCCCCTCTCCTCTCTCCCCTCTCCCCTCTCCTCTCTCCTCTCTCCTCTCTCTCCCCTCTCCTCTCTCCTCTCTCCTCTCTCCTCTCTCCCCTCTCCTCTCTCTCCCCTCTCCTCTCTCTCCCCTCTCCTCTCTCCTCTCTCCCCTCTCCTCTCTCTCCCCTCTCCTCTCTCTCCCCTCCTCTCCTCCCCTCCCCTCTCCCCATCTCCTCTCTACTCCCTCTCTCCTCTCTCCCCTCGACTCCTCTCCCCCCTCTCCTCTCTCCCCCTTCCTCTCTCCCCCTCAACTCACTCTCTCCCTCTCCTCTCTCCTCCCCCCTCTCCTCTCTCTCCCCTCTCCTCTCCTCCTCTCCCTCTCCTCTCTCTCTCTCCGCCTCCTCTCTCCCCTCTCCTCTCCTCTCCCCCCTCTCTCCTCTCTCCCCTCTCTCCCCCTCTCTCCTCTCTCTCTCTCTCTCCTCTCTCCTCTCTCCCCTCTCACCTCTCTCCCATCCCCCTCTCCTCTCTCCTCCTCTCTCCTCTCTCCTCTCTCCTCCCCCTCTCCTCTCTCCTCTCTCTCCCCTCTCCCCTCACTCCCCTCTCCCCTCTCTCCTCTCCTCCCCTCCTCTCCCTCTCCCCTCTCCTCTCCTCTTCTCTCCTCTCCTCTCCTCTCTCCCTCTCTCTCGACCCCCCCTCTCCTCTCCTCCTCTCGATCACTCCCCTCTCCTCCTCTCTCCCCTCTCCCCTCTACCTCTCTCTCCCCCTCTCCCCCTCTCCTCTCTCCTCTCTCCTCTCTCTCCCCTCTCGCCCTCTCCCCTCTCCCCTCTCTCCCCTCTCCCCCTCTCTCCACCCTCTCCTCTCTCCCCTCTCCTCTCTCCTCACTCCTCTCTCTCCTACTCCTCTCTCTCCTCTCCCCCTCTCCTCTCTCTCCCCTCTCCCCTCTCTCTCCAGCCTCCTCCGCCCTCTCCCCTCTCTCTCCTCATCCCCCTCTCTCCCCTCTCTCCCCTCTCCCCTCTCCTCTCTCTCTCTCCTCCTCTCCCCTCTCTTCCCTCTCTCCCCTCTCTCTGCTCTCCCCTCTCCCCTCTCCTCCCTCTCCTCTGCCCTCTCCCCCTCTCTCCCCTCTCTCCCTCTCACTCTCTCCCCTCTCTCCCCTCTCCCCTCTCCTCTCCCCCTCTCTCCCTCCTCTCCCCTCTCTCCCTCTCCGCTCTCCTCTCTCCCCTCTCCCCTCTCTCCCTCTCCTCTCTCCACTCTCCCTCTCTCCCCTCTCTCCTCTCTCCCCTCCCTCTCCCCTCTCTCACCTCTCTCCTCTCTCCCCTCTCCCCTCTCTCCCCACTCCGACCTCTCCTCTCCCTCTCCCCCTCTCTCCCCTCTCCTCCCTCTCCTCTCTTCCCTCTCTCCCCTCTCCTCTCCCCCTCTCCCCTCTCCCTCTCTCTCCCTCTCCTCTCTCCCTCTCTCCTCTCCGTCCTCTCTCCCCTCTCCCCTCTCTCCCCTCTCTCCCCTCTTCCCCTCTCTCCCCTCTCTCTCCATCCCTCTCTCCCTCTCTCCCCTCTCCCCTCTCTCCTCATCTCCTCTCTCCTCTCTCTCCCTCTCCCTCTCCTCCCCTCTCCCCTCTCCCCTCTCGAGCCCTCTCTCCCCTCTCCCCCTCTCCCCTCTCCTCTCTCCCCTCCTCCTCTCTCCCCTCTCCTCTCTCCCCTGTCCTCTCTCCTCTCTCCTCTCTCCCCTGTCTCTCCCCTCTCCTCTCTCCCATCTCTCTCCTCTCTCCCATCTCTCTCCTCTCTCCCCATCTCTCTCCTCTCTCCTCTCTCTCTCCCCCTCTCCTCTCTCTCCCCTCTCCCCTCTCCCCCCTCCCCTGTCCTCTCTCCCATCTCTCCCCTCTCCTCTCTTCCATCTCTCCTCTCTCCCCTGTCCTCTCTCTCTCCTCTCTCCCCTCTCCTCTCTCCCATCTCTCTCCTCTCTCCCATCTCTCTCCTCTCTCCTCTCCCATCTCTCTCCTCTCTCCCCTCCCTCTCCCATCTCTCTCCTCTCTCTCCTCTCTCCTCTCTGCCCTCTACTCTCTACTCGTCTCCCCTCTCTCCTCTCTCCCCCACTCTCCTCTCTCCCCCTCCCCTCTCCCATCTCTCTCCTCTCTCTCCTCTCTCCTCTCTCCTCTCTGCCCTCTACTCTCTCCCCTCTCTCCTCTCTCCCCTCTCCTCTCTCCCCTCTCCTCTCTCCCTCTCCTCTCTCCCCCTGTCCTCTCTCCCCTGTCCTCTCTCCCCTGTCTCTCCCATCTTCCCCTCAACTCTCTCTCCCATCTCTCTCCTCTCTCCCATCTAACTCTCCTCTCTTCCCATCTCTCTCCTCTCTCCCCTCTCCTCTCTCTCCCCTCTCCCCTCTCCTCTCTCCCCTCTCCTCTCTCTCCCCCTCTCCCCTCTCCCCCTCCCCTGTCCTCTCTCCCATCTCTCCCCTCTCCTCTCTTCCATCTCTCCTCTCTCCCCCTGTCCTCTCTCTCTCCTCCACTCCCATCTCCTCTCCCTTCTCTCCTCTCTCCCATCTCTCTCCTCTCTCCCCTCTCCATCTCTCTCCTCTCTCCCATCTCTCTCCTCTCTCCTCCTCTCTCCATCTCTCTCCTCTCTCCCCTCCCTCTCCTCTCTCCTCTCTGCCCTCTACTCTCTACTCTCTCCCCCTCTCCTCTCTCTCCCCTCTCTCCTCTCTCCCCTCCCCTCTCTCCTCTCTCTCTCCTCTCTCTCCTCCTCTCTCCTCTGCCCTCTACTCTCTACTCTCTCCTCTCTCCCCCTCTCCCCTCTCTCCTCTCTCCTCTCTCCCTCTCTCCCCTCTCCCTCCTCCTCCCCCCCCCCACCCCCCCCCCCCCCCCCCCCCCCCCCCCCCCCCCCCCCCCCCCCCCCCCCCACCCCCCCCCCCCCCCCCCCCCCCCCCACCCCCCCCCCCCCCCACCCCCCCCCCCCCCCCCCCCCCCCCCCCCTCCCCACCCCCCCCCCCCCCCCCCCCCCCCCACCCCCCCCCCCCCCACCCCCCCTCCAACCCCCCCCCCCCCCCCACCCCCCCCCCCCCCCCCCCACCCACCCCCCCCCCACCCCCCCCCCCCCCCCCCCCCCCCCCCCCCCCCCCCCCCCCCCCCACCCCCCCCCCCCCCCCCCCCCCCCCCCCCCCCCCCCCCCCCCCCCCACGCCCCCCCCCCATCCCCCCCCCCGCGCCCCCCCCCCACCCCCCCCCCCCCCACCCCCCCCCCCCCCCCCCCCCCCCCCCCCCACCACCCCCCCCCCCCCCCCCCCCCCCCCCACACCACCCGACCCCCCCCCACCCCCCCCCCACCACCCCCCCCCCCCCCCCCCCGCCCCCCCCACCCCCCCCCCCCCCCCCCCCAACACCCCAACCCCCCCCCCCGCCCCCCCACCCCCCCCCCCACCCCTCCCCCCCACCCCCCTCTCTCCCCCTCCCTCTCTCCCCATCTCCCCTCGTCCTCTCCGCCCTCTCCCCTCTCCCCCTCGACCTCCTCTCTCCCCTCTCCCTCTCTCCCCTCTCCTCTCTCCCCTCTCCTCTCTTCCCCTGTCCTCTCTCCTCTCTCCCCTGTCTCTCCCCTCTCCTCTCTCCCATCTCTCTCCTCTCTTCCCATCTCTCTCCTCTCTCCCATCTCTCTCCTCTCTCTTCTCCTCTCTCCCCTCTCCTCTCTCCCCTCTCCCCCCTCCCCTGTCCTCTCTCCCATCTCTCCCCTCTCCTCTCTTCCATCTCTCCTCTCTCCCCTGTCCTCTCTCTCTCCTCTCTCCCCTCTCCTCTCTCCCATCTCTCTCCTCTCTCCCATCTCTCTCCTCTCTCCCCTCCCTCTCCTCCTCCCCTCTCTCCCCTCCCCTCTCCCATCTCTCTCCTCTCTCTCCTCTCTGCCCTCTACTCTCTACTCTCTCCCCTCTCTCCTCTCTCCCCTCTCTCCTCTCTCCCCTCTCTCCTCTCTCCTCTCTGCCTCTCTACTCCTCTACTCTCCCCTCTCTCCTCTCTCCTCTCTGCCCTCTACTCTCTACTCTCTCCCCTCTCTCCTCTCTCCCCTCTCTCCTCTCTCCCCTCTCTCCTCTCTCCCCTCTCTCCCATCTCTCTCCTCTCTCCCCTCCCTTCCCATCTCTCTCCTCTCTCCTCTCTGCCCCTCTACTCTCTCCCCTCTCTCCTCTCTCCTCCATCTCTCTCCTCTCTCCCCTCTCCTCCTCTCCCCTTCTCTCCCTCTCTCCCCTCTCTTCCCTCTCTCCCCTCTCTCCCCTCTCTCCCCTCTCTCCCCTCTCTCCCCCTCTCCTCTCTCTCCCCTCTCTCCCCTCTCTCCTCTCTGAAGCCCTCACACAGCCTGGGTGTGAATCTACAGCCAATAGTCATGAAAATAAACTCAGTGAAGGAGAAAATGTGTCCAAACTTTTGCTCTGTTCTGTCCGTGACTCTAACATCCTCCTCTCGGTCTCGTTCACCGACCTGCCTCAAACAGACAGAGCTCGTCCTGATCCTTGGACATGATGTGACAGTGATGATGAAGACGATGATGATGATGAAGATGGTGGTCCAGCTGCTGTTTGGCCTCAGCCTCTGTCACTGTGGAATGCTCTTTAACACTAACACGTCCTCCTCTCTCTGATACCTCCCTCCTGCTGCGCACACACAGCAGCAGGCCTCATCAGTAACACTCAGAGTGAGAGAGACAGAGTTCATCAGAAACAATATGTCTTTACAGCAGCAAAGTCCAAACGGTTTAGTAAGAAAACCACTACAGTTCACCACAAATGTCCCCCAGGCCCAAAACAAGGACAGTACACTGCAAAAAATTATCAAATATGAGGTAAATATGAGGTCTTAAAGAAGCTATACCGATTTTTTTTCTAATGAGTTCCTATAATGCTTATAACTACAGACAAGTTGTATTATAATCCGTAATTTAACTGACAACTTGAGCTCATTGATTCAGCTGTGTATGAATTCAGGCCGTAAAAAGTGCTGAGTAGAGACTTCGCGTGACGCCCGCTCTCCTCCAATCACAGGACGAGGCTGCGTCCTCTAGCCTCTACAGCGCTGCTAAACACAGTAGCATGTTAGCATACGTGGCTATAACTCCTCTGGCTGTAACTGCAGACACAGAAAAACAGCCCAAACCACACAACAGTGAGGAAGAGAAGCGGGAACTAAAGCCAAAACATGATCAAAGAAGAAACCAAGCCCTGAACATAGCTAGCTTACATCGTATCCTCTGGAGAGACTGGTCTATGGGAGAGACCTGCGGGACCGCCTCGGACTATCTACGCTCGGACTATCTACGCTCGGACTATCTACGCTCGGACTATCTACGCTCGGACCATCTACGCTCGGACCATCTACGCTCGGACCATCTACGCTCGGACTATCTACGCTCGGACTATCTACGCTCGGACTATCTACGCTCGGACTATCTACGCTCGGACCATCTACGCTCGGACCATCTACGCTCGGACCATCTACGCTCGGACCATCTACGCTCGGACCATCTACGCTCGGACTATCTACGCTCGGACTATCTACGCTCGGACCGTCTACGCTCGGACCATCTACGCTCGGACCATCTACGCTCGGACTATCTACGCTCGGACCGTCTACGCTCGGACCATCTACGCTCGGACTATCTTTTTCTCTGTTCTGTCCATTTGTTGAACCTCACCAGAAAATTCTTCTTGCTCTTCTACTTATTCTCTAAAACTAGTCACTGCTTTTGGTCAATCAAACAAACAAAAATCTACAACACTGCAAAAAAGTTGATTTAACAAATAGTATTGATGATTATACACGAGTCACCTGCCCATGTTTTTTTGATAGCGAAGTGAAATCCTGAAAGTAAATGTTTTTGAACGACTCTCAAAGCCGCAGCAGAAACCACTTAAATCTCTGCATGTTTTTGATTCAAACTGGACTGAATCACTGACGCCATATTCTCTAAAGACACAGGAGCATCTCTGTGCACTGCAACAAGACTAGAATGGCTCAAATTTGGCAAAATGTGTCTAGATTTGAGCACATTCTGACTGAACCTTAAAACTTTTTTTTTTCTTCTGATTATCACCTCACGGTATTGAGCTAGAGGAGCCAGAGCGAGTTGGAGAAAAACTTCGTCCAAGAGCGCTTCTCTATCGGGGTTGATTGAGCTAGCGGGTTAGCATTGTCCAGCTATATGCTACGATGCTGCTATGTATAAATACAGATTACTTACTCTGCAAAAAGAGTTGAAAAATAAGTCTTTGCCGATGGGACAAAGAAAATGTATCTTGTTTTAAAAAGATACAGAAAATAGTGAGAAAAAAGCCACAGTTTTTGAAATAAAACTAAATGTCTTCGTCTCATCGGAGAATCTAGTTTCACCACGGTCAGAATGTGTCAGACTCAGACAAAAACCAGTCCATTCAAGCATTTATTACCTCATTTTTAATCGTTTTTTGGAGTGCAGCAATAATTACAAATCTATTTTTACTTTTGCTAGGATGGGAAAGGATTGGATCAGCCCAATGTTTACTGAGTGGAGATTTTTTCCACATGTGGCTTGGTCCCATTGTATCTGTCCTGCTCTGACAAACTGAGGACAGGACGCTTTGATCTCCACAACTGTACTGCACAATCACCACGGCAACGGGCACTTCCCACGCTGGAGGAGGAGGAGCAGGAAGAGGTGGAGGAAGAGGAAGAGGAGGTGGAGGAGGAGGAGGAAGAGGTGGAGGAGGTGGAGGAGGAAGACGAGGAGGAGGTGGAGGAGGAAGAGGAGGAGGTGGAGGAGGAGGTGGTGTAGGAGGAGGAAGAGGAGGAGGAAGAGGAGGAGGATGAAGAGGAGGAGGAAGAGGAGGAGGAGGAAGAGGATGAGGAAGAGGAGGAGGAGGAAGAAAAGGAAGAAGACGAGGAAAAGGAAGAGGAGGAGGAGGAGGAAAGAGGAGGATGACGAGGAAAAGGAAGAGGAGGAGGAGGAGGAAAGAGGAGGATGACGAGGAAAAGGAAGAGGAAGAAGAAGAGGAAGAGGAAAAAGGAAGAGGGGAGGAGAAAGAGGAAGAAGAGGAAGCAGAAGAAGAAGAAGAAGAAGGAGGAAGAAGGAGGAAGAAGAAGGAGGAAGAAGAGGAGGAGGGAGAAGGGGTGGAGGAGGAAGAGAAAGAAGAAGAGAAGGGGAAGAGGGAGAAGAAGAGGAGAGGAGGAGGAAGAAGAAGAATTAAAGCCGCAAGCGGCGTCGAACGGCCCTCGCCGCACAGCGCGACTCCCCGCGCCGCGCACACCACGCTCCACACCGTACCACGTAGCACCGCGCAAAGGAGGTGTCCCCGCCGTGTGATGATTTGTTCCCGTAGCCGTAGCAGAATGTTGTTCATTCTTCTACGGCTGATGATCTGGAGCGATTGAGGTGAATCGGTGAAACGGCCGAGGTCCAACCGACATGTATGAAAATTATTGCAGATCATTTTTCCATTTTGCAGTGAAATTTATGGGCTTCCTGTTTCTCCTCTCTCTCTCTCCTCTCTCTCTCCTCTCTCTCCTCTCGTCTCCTCTCTCTCTCCTCTCTCTCTCCTCTCTCTCGCCGCATCCTCTCTCTCTCCTCTCTCATCTCTCTCCTCTCTCTCCCCTCTCCACTCTCTCCCCTCTCTCTCTCCTCTCTCTCTCCTCTCTCCACTCTCCACTCTCCACTCTCCACTCTCTCTCCCACTCTCTCTCCACTCTCTCTCCACTCTCTCTCCACTCTCTCTCCTCTCTCTCCTCTCTCTCTCCTCTCTCTCTCCTCTCTCTCTCCTCTCTCTCTCTCTCTCCTCTCTCTCTCCCCTCTCTCTCCTCTCTCTCTCCTCTCTCTCTCTCCTCTCTCTCTCCTCTCTCTCTCCTCTCTCCTCTCTCTCTCTCCTCTCTCTCTCCCCTCTCTCTCTCCTCTCTCTCCTCTCTCCTTTTCCCAAACAGAATTGAGATATTTTCCTCTAAATAACTGCAGCTGGTTTTTAATGTTCCTCCCGATGTGATCGCTGCAGTCTGTGCAGATGTGCAAGTCTGTTACTGCATCTGTTTTTTTATCTGCAATCTTCAGCGATGACAGCGCTCAGAGAGAGAGACGAGAACCATAACTGTGCCATGAGAGAAACCCTATTATCCTCATAAACGGTCAGAGCATTAGCCACATGAGAGAGACCGGAGAGAGAGACCAGAGAGAGAGACTGTAGAGAGAGACCAGAGAGAGAGACTGGAGAGAGAGAGAGACTGGAGAGAGAGAGACCGGAGAGAGAGACCGGAGAGAGAGACCAGAGAGAGAGACTGGAGAGAGAGAGACCAGAGAGAGAGACCGGAGAGAGAGACCAGAGAGAGAGACTGGAGAGAGAGAGACCAGAGAGATAGACCATAGAGAGAGAAACTGGAGAGAGAGACTGGAGAGAGAGAGAGACCAGAAAGAGAGAGAAACTGGAGAGAGAGAGACCATCGAGAGAGAGACCATCGAGAGAGAGACCAGAGAGAGAGAGACCATCGAGAGAGAGACCATCGAGAGAGGGACCAGAGAAAAAGACGAGAGAGAGAGACCAAAGGGAGAGACCATGCAGAGAGACCAGAGAGAGAGACACCAGAGAGAGAGAATAATTTTTGTACCATGAGAGAAATTCTTCTATTGTCAGAGCATTAGCCACAAGAGAGAGACCAGAGAGAGACCAGAGAGAGAGACCAGAGAGAGACCAGAGAGAGACCAGAGAGAGAGACCAGAGAGAGACCAGAGAGAGAGACCAGAGAGAGACCAGAGAGAGACCAGAGAGAGAGACCAGAGAGAGACCAGAGAGAGACCAGAGAGAGAGACCAGAGAGAGAGACCAGAGAGAGAGACCAGAGAGGGACCAGAGAGAAAGACCAGAGAGAGAGACCAGAGAGAAAGACCAGAGAGAGAGAGCACATGTGTCTAAATACAGTGATAAGAATAAGTTACCTCTGACATGTGGTGGTTTCTCCTGTGGTTCTCAAACAGAGGTACGTGGACGTGACTATGTGGTCTTCTGAGCATTTCTCACTGTAAAATACAATAGAAGTTTGAATATTAGACAGAGAGAGAGAGAAACCAGAGAGAGAGACCAGAGAGAGAGAGAGTCCAGAGACAGAGACCAGAGAGAGAGAGAGAGAGAGAGAGAGAGAGAGACCAGAGACAGAGACCAGAGAGAGACCAGAGAGAGAGACCAGAGAGAGACCAGAGGGAGAGACCAGAGAGAGAGAGAGGCCAGAGAGAGAGAGAGGCCAGAGAGAGAGAGAGGCCAGAGAGAGAGACCAGAGAGAGAGACCAGAGAGAGAGACTAGAGAGAGACCAGAGAGAGACCAGAGAGAGACCAGAGAGAGAGAGACCAGAGAGAGACCAGAGAGAGAGAGGCCAGAGAGAGACCAGAGAGAGACCAGAGAGAGAGACCAGAGAGAGACCAGAGAGAGACCAGAGAGAGACCAGAGGGAGAGACCAGAGAGAGACCAGAGGGCAGAGAGAGAGACCAGAGAGAGAGAGAGGCCAGAGAGAGAGACCAGAGAGAGAGACCAGAGAGAGAGACTAGAGAGAGACCAGAGAGAGAGACTAGAGAGCGAGAGAGACACCAGAGAGGGAGCAGAAAGAGAGACTAGAGAGAGAGACCAGAGAGAAAGATCAGAGAGAGTTTCCCACTTACCCATGTGTGTCCGTGTCTTGCACATAGGACCAGAACAACCCTGGAGAGAGACAGGCGCAGGTGACCGTGAGCAGAAGAGCAGAGTCCATCTCTACTGGATTCTTCACAAACAAAATAGGAGCGGATCCAAGACTAACACACGGCCCGAAAAAAGAGACTTATTGACAGCAAAACCCTCTCTTTCTTTCAACAGGTGTGAATTCAGAGATATTCGGGGGAAAAACACGCTCCTAGAGAATCACTTGGAGTTTTTCTGGAGCTGGAAAGACATCCCGAGTCTGTGAACTGGTCCCAGGACAGATCCACGTGATTTAAATCCCGCTCGCAGCCTCCCACCCACAGCCAGCACTGAGGAGCTGTACGTGTGGCGCCATCGTGTGGCCGCTACTCGTTACTGACAGCAGCTGAGGGGAAGGAGACGAGGAGAAAGACAGAGAGAGCAGAGAGAGAGAGATCAGAGAGAGATCAGAGAGAGATCAGAGAGAGAGAGTTTGAGAGAGCAGAGAGAGAGCAGAGAGAGAGAGAGGTCAGAGAGAGATTAGAGAGAGATCAGAGAGAGATCAGAGACAGAGATCAGAGAGAGACCAGAGAGAGAGAGCAGAGAGAGAGAGAGAGAGATCAGAGAGAGAGAGAGAGATCAGAAAGAGAAGGCAGAGAGAGATCAGAGAGAGAGACCAGAGAGAGAGAGAGAGATCAGAGAGAGATCAGAGAGAGAGAGAGTTTGAGAGAGGGAAAGAGACCAGAGAGGGGGAGAGAGAGCAGAGAGAGATATAGAGAGTATGAGAGAGGGAGAGAGAGCATGAGAGTCCAGAGAATGAGAAACCAGAGTGAGATACTAGAGAGAGACCAGAGAGAGATTGTGAGAGACCAGAGAGAGACTGTGAGGAATCATGAGAGACCAGAGAAACCAGAGAGAGACCAGAGAGAGCCTGTGAGAGACCATAAAGAGACCAGAGAGAAAACATTGGCATCCCGAGTCTGTGAACTCGTCCTCGAAACAGATCCACGTGATTTAAATCTCGCTCGCAGCCTCCCACCCACAGCCAGCACTGAGGAGCTGTACATGTGGCGCCATCGTGTGGCCGCTACTCGTCACTGACAGCAACTGAGAGGAAGTTAGTGCATTATCCGATTTCAGCAAAGATACCTCCTTATCCTTCCTTATCAGTTTGTGTACAGCACATTGGCCTTCTGTGGCACTGGGCAGTTCCAGGTTTGGTCTAATGCATGTTTTCAATGGCATTTGGATCACAGTTGATGCCACGAGAGTCCGAGAAAATGAGAATTGATCAAATTTAATAGAATAGATAAGAGATCCTGTATTCGAGAATTAAGTATAAAATCCTCCCCCTCCTACTCCTCCTCTTCCTCCTCCTCCTACTCCCCCTCCTCCTCCTCCTCCGCACTCACCAGAGGCTCTATCACCGTCATAGAGGGTGACCTTGACCAATCAGTGACCTGCTGGACTCCTGATGGTGTTGGGGCGATGGAGCCCAGAGCAGAGAGAGAGAGAGAGAGACAGAGAGAGACCAGAGAGAAACCATAGAGAGACCAGAGAGAGACCAGAGAAAGAGACCAGAGAGAGACCAGAGAGAGGCCAGAGAAAGAGACCAGAGAGAGACCAGAGAGAGACCAGAGAGAGACCAGAAAAAGAGACCAGAGAAAGAGACCAGATAGAGACCAGAGAAAGACCAGAGAAAGAGACCAGAGAAAGACCAGAGAGAGACCAGAGAGAGACCAGAGAGAGACCAGAGAAAGAGACCAGAGAAAGACCAGAGAGAGACCAGAGAAAGACCAGAGAAAGAGACCAGAGAAAGAGACCAGAGAAAGACCAGAGAGAGACCAGAGAAAGACCAGAGAAAGAGACCAGAGAAAGACCAGAGAGAGACCAGAGAGAGACCAGAGAGAGACCAGAGAAAGAGACCAGAGAAAGACCAGAGAAAGACCAGAGAGAGACTAGAGAAAGAGACCAGAGAGAGACCAGAGAAAGACCAGAGAAAGACCAGAGAGAGAGACCAGAGAGAGACCAGAGAAAGACCAGAGAAAGACCAGAGAGAGAGACCAGAGAGAGACCAGAGAGAGCAAAGGGAGCAGAACAGGATCTGTGTGAAACCAGAGGACCGCGGTGTCACTTACAGACTGTTGCAATCAGAGGTCAGAGGTCAGAGGTTGCCAGGTGTGATTTACCTTCACTTTAGTCAGAGTTTCTGTCTGGCCAAACTGTGGTCCGGGGGCCACATGCGGTCATTTTCACATTTCTATACGGCCAATACTTTTTGGAAAAGTGCAAATATGGGAATGTATCTTCGCTTCTTTAGGTTCTTTGGGTTCTTGGCTTTTTAATTCATTGAACCCAAAAAATACAGATTTCTTTAGCCATGACCTTTGAACTCATATTGTTGCATATTTGTGACCGAGGTTGCTACGGGGATCATTCCAAGCAAACCAACAAAACAAAATAAATTGTCAAAACCTGTTGTCAATAAAATAATAATAATAAAAAAAAGCTAAAATCAAATAATAGCCGCAGATGCTAACAGTAGCTAAGAACAATTTTTACACAAACACAGAAATATTTAGCTCCATACTTCAACTTATTTTCTTTAAATATTAATGTGAATCAAATAAAAGCATTTATAACTAAAGTAGCTTTCACAGAACATAAGTTTAGACAAATTGAATTAAACGGTAACACATAAAAATAGATAAAATAGTGAAAGTCACTGTGTCCCTGACCCTTGAGCTGCTACAGATGTAAACACACAACTATATTCACTGCACTGGAACTGACACTATCATTCTTTTTTATGATAAAGTCTGAGATTTTTATTCATTTTACTGTTGAGTTATTGTTCATTTATCTTCATTTACCTCTTTCCTACTGTTCTGTAACTGATGATGCAACAATCTCTTAATCTAAATGACCAGCTCTGCTCTCTCTCTCTCTCTCTCTCTCTCTCTCTCTCTCTCTCTCTCTCTCTCTCTCTCTCTCTCTCTCTTGGTCTTTCCCTCCCCTGCTGCTGTCTCTCTGTGTGTCTCTTACTCCCTCCCTCTCTCTCTCTCTCTTGTCGTCTCTTTCTCTCTCTCTACCTCCTCCCCTCTCTCTTTGTCTCTCTCTCTCCCACTCTCCTCTCTTTCTACCCCTTTCCTTCCCCTCCTCTCTCTCTATCTCTCTCCCCCTCTGTCTCCCTCTTTCCCTCTCCTTCCCCTCCTCTATCTCCATCTCTCTCCCCCTCTGTCTCCCTCTTTCCCCCTCTCTCCCTCTCCTTCCCCTCCTCTCTCTCTGGCTCTCTCTCCATCTCACTAACCCCCTCTGTCTCCCTCTTTCCCCCTCTCTCCCTCTCCTTCCCCTCCTCTCTCTCCATCTCTCTCCCCCTCTGTCTCCCTCTTTCCCCCTCTCTCCCTCTCCTTCCCCTCCTCTCTCTCCATCTCTCTCCCCCTCTGTCTCCCTCTTTCCCCCTCTCTCCCTCTCCTTCCCCTCCTCTCTCTCCATCTCTCTCCCCCCTCTGTCTCCTTCTTTCCCCCTCTCTCCCTCTCCTTCCCCTCCTCTCTCCCTCTCCTCTCCCTCTCTCTCCCTCTCCTCTCCCTCTCCTCTCCCCCTCTCCTCCTGCAGTCCCGCCATCCTCCACACGGTGTCGCTTCTCCCCCGCAGATCCATCCGCAGCCTCTCTAACCACTATCGTCATCACTGTCCACAAAATGGATGACAGGCTTTGGAGAAACCGGGGTGCGTCACGGCTCCGAGGTGCGCGCGCTGCACTGCTTCCGTCTCACCTGCTTCTGGAGCATCAGCAACTTCAGCCTGAGACTCACGGCCGCGGACAGAGCCTCATCCGCGGCTACAGACGCCCAGCCGCGCCCGGGACCCACCCTCCCTCTGCCCGCCCAGTCTTCACGCTGTCATAGGCTCCGGCAGGTTCTTTATGGACGAATCAGCATTTTGTAAAAGGGAGAAATGAGAAAGTTCAGCTCCATTGTACTGGCAAGTTTATCTGTATAGCACGCTTCATACAACAGGGAAGTCATATTGTGCAAAACAAGACAAACATCCCAAATAATCACAAGAGTAACACAGTTGTAGCACAGATAAATGTGTTTTAAACCTGGATTTGAACATTGTCAGAGAAGAAGTCTGTTTCACATTTTCAGGAAGACTGTTCGAGATTTTAGCTGCATAGATCTGAAATGCTTAGTGTTTAGTCCTGACTCTGGGACCAGCACGAGGCCAGTCCCTGTGCTCCTGAGAGTCCCAGCAGGAGGCCAGCCCCTGTGCTCCTGAAAGTCCCAGCAGGAGGCCAGCCCCTGTGCTCCTGAAAGTCCCAGCAGGAGGCCAGTCCCTGTGCTCCTGAGAGTCCCAGCAGGAGGCCAGTCCCTGTGCTCCTGAGAGTCCCAGCAGGAGGCCAGTCCCTGTGCTCCTCAGAGTCCCAGCAGGAGGCCAGTCCCTGTGCTCCTCAGAGTCCCACCAGGAGACCAGTCCCTGTGCTTTTCAGAGTCCCAGCAGGAGACCAGTCCCTGTGCTCCTTAGAGTCCCAGCTGGGGCCCAGTCCCTGTGCTTCTCAGAGTCCCAGCAGGAGGCCAGTCCCTGTGCTCCTCAGAGTTCCAGCAGGAGGCCAGTCCCTGTGCTCCTCAGAGTCCCAGCAGGAGGCCAGTCCCTGTGAAATTAACATCAAGTTTGACTAAATAATAGATTATCAATGTTTGGAGACGCCACATTGGTTTTATTTTCTTTATTGACAACTTTTCCAAACAAACTCTAAACGCAGTAGTTTCAGTCAGAGTCAAACCAAAGCCACAGCTGCCCTCAGAGTGCGGCTGAAGAAAGGCTGCCATTGGGACCCCATACATAATGTATAAGTGGGAAGAGGCTGGTGGTGTGTCTTGCCTTGGGGCACAACAATAGTTTAGGCCGATGCAAGATTTGACTCTCACTTTATTTATACAACCTCCTGCTGCTGTCTCTGGTTCTATCACCTCCTGCTGGTTCTATCACCTCCTGCTGCAGTCTCTGGTTCTATCACATCCTGCTGCAGTCTCTGGTTCTATCACCTCCTGCTGCAGTCTCTGGTTCTATCACCTCCTGCTGCAGTCTCTGGTTCTATCACCTCCTGCTGGTTCTATCACCTCCTGCTGCAGTCTCTGGTTCTATCACCTCCTGCTGCAGTCTCTGGTTCTATCACCTCCTGCTGCAGTCTCTGGTTCTATCACCTCCTGCTGCAGTCTCTGGTTCTATCACCTCCTGCTGCAGTCTCTGGTTCTATCACCTCCTGCTGGTTCTATCACCTCCTGCTGCAGTCTCTGGTTCTATCACCTCCTGCTGCAGTCTCTGGTTCTATCACCTCCTGCTGCAGTCTCTGGTTCTATCACCTCCTGCTGCAGTCTCTGGTTCTATCACCTCCTGCTGCAGTCTCTGGTTCTATCACCTCCTGCTGCTGTCTCTGGTTCTATCACCTCCTGCTGGTTCTATCACCTCCTGCTGCAGTCTCTGGTTCTATCACCTCCTGCTGGTTCTATCACCTCCTGCTGCAGTCTCTGGTTCTATCACCTCCTGCTGCAGTCTCTGGTTCTATCACCTCCTGCTGCAGTCTCTGGTTCTATCACCTCCTGCTGCAGTCTCTGGTTCTATCACCTCCTGCTGCAGTCTCTGGTTCTATCACCTCCTGCTGCAGTCTCTGGTTCTATCACATCCTGCTGCAGTCTCTGGTTCTATCACCTCCTGCTGCAGTCTCTGGTTCTATCACCTCCTGCTGCAGTCTCTGGTTCTATCACCTCCTGCTGCTGTCTCTGGTTCTATCACCTCCTGCTGGTTCTATCACCTCCTGCTGCAGTCTCTGGTTCTATCACCTCCTGCTGGTTCTATCACCTCCTGCTGCAGTCTCTGGTTCTATCACTCCTGCTGCAGTCTCTGGTTCTATCACCTCCTGCTGCAGTCTCTGGTTCTATCACCTCCTGCTGCAGTCTCTGGTTCTATCACCTCCTGCTGCAGTCTCTGGTTCTATCACCTCCTGCTGCAGTCTCTGGTTCTATCACCTCCTGCTGCAGTAGTCTCTGGTTCTATCACCTCCTGCTGCAGTCTCTGGTTCTATCACCTCCTGCTGCAGTCTCTGGTTCTATCACCTCCTGCTGCAGTCTGAATTCATACAAAGCTGAATCATGAGCTCAAGTTTTCAATTAAATTACGGATCATAATACAACTTGTATGTAGTAATAAGTATTTTTATGAACTCATTAGAAAATAAATAGGTAAATCCATCCGACCAATCAGCGAGCGCGGGGAGGCGGGTGTTGGAGTTAGTTGTGGCCAGTGGGGGCGGGTCCCAGCTCAAAAGTGGCCAAAATGACGTGCGCTGACATGCTACAATACCACCCCGGGCCGATGGGGGTGGACCCAGAAGTAGAATTAGCCAATGCTAACATATAGCATCGGCAGACCTCTCAAAAACGTCTTTACAGGATGGACCAAAAGTTGGCTCTTGGCCCAAAGCTCCGTTGCACATGTGTCAATGCTGAGGGGGGTGGATTGTTTTGGTCCACTCTAGTTTAGTTGCTGTGAATTTTTTAAGTCTCTCGTTCAAATGAATGGAGCTCTCGCCGGCTGACGCATGCGCAGATGGTTTTTTTTCACAATTTTCTTGTGGGCGGGACCACTCGCGGCCATTTTGGATAGCTCCAGTAGAGCACAATTTTTGGCCCATTAGTTAGAACGGCGGAGATAGGCGTGACTCTGTCCGTTCATATATACAGTCTATGGTTGTGGGTCACGCCAAGAGTTTGCGCTGAACAGCAGGTTGTAGCTTGGCAATGGCTAAGAATGCGATAGTAAAGTAATCCGGTCTGGTTCCATCAAGAAATTGAAGCAGGAGCAAGAGGAATGTTTAGCAAATGTAATCGCTGGCAAAGGTTGTGGCGCTACTCCCCACGGGCTCCGTTAGCGGCAAAGAAGATGGCTAGGCTAAATGCTAACAACTCACTTGGGCGCACTACATACGTCACGGTAAACTCAGATCCAATCGTTTCAATCTGCAAAAGGAGATAACCCTCCCACCTGTTCACGGAGTCAATGGAGCACCTCCAGACCTTAGTATGAAATGTAAATTGTTCTATGGTGTGGTACGACCAGGCTAGGTTCACAATTGTTTCTTTTTTGTTGTTTGTTTTATACATTTGCCCGGTGCACACTGGGGATTCTCACACATGTATTCCAATGTGGTTTTACTGCAAATTAATCTGAATCAGAGACTTCGGAAGAATGACATCTCTCATCATTATGACGTGGAGCCAAAATAAATCATTCTGGTAAAAATAACATAAAGAGATTTAATTTTATATCATGGTTTCCACTTTGACTTGACTTCTGAAAAGTCACTGATTGGTCGGTCGTGCGTCACCGTCTCTGCAGGTGGTGGAAATATTGGACGATCAAGAAGTCGAGACTCGTGGCCAGAGCAGGAAAGAAAACAAACGTTTTAGTTCACGAACAAGTGGCAACAAAGACTTTCCGCAAGTAAATCTCTGGGACTTTAGCTAAAAACACGGTTAAACACTAAATCTGACATAATCTCTGTACATATGATTAAGATTAAGATTAAAATTAGAATTGAGAGACAAAATGAATGAACAATAACTCTATACCAAAATAGGGATCTATGAATCCATAAACTATAAGTGATGAAAAATTTGTTAAAAATGTCTCAGATTTGGCAAAATGTGTCTTAATTTAACCAAATTCTGACTGCCTTAAAACAATATTATCCAACAGGACAAAGCAAAATGATCTTGTTTTAAAAAGATACAAGAAATATCTCCCTTGGAATGAGAAAATAAAGCAACCGTTCTTGAAATAAGACCAAATGTCTAAATATTGTTTTAACACTATCAGAAGGAATATTTTATCACTTTTTGCAGTGTAATGTTTGAGTTAGATCTACACATAAGATTTATTATAAAATAGTTATACATTTCTAATATATTAATACTAGGGACTCAATACAAAATATATAATTAATTAATCAAAATGAATCACATTTCACCAAAATAATAAAAACATTTCTAGCTTTAGCATAATAAAGAAGCTAGCATAAAATCATTTTCATTGTCACTGATAATTCACTAGTAACTTTGTCACTAGTCACTTTACCTGTTATCAGTACTACTACAGTACTACATATCTGATATTTACTGTTATCAGTACTACTGTATTATTACATATCTGATAATTCTGCCTTCCACCGTCACTTTACCTGTTGATATTATTTCTGATGTTTATTCTGCTCATATTCTCATATTCTCCGCTGCTAATGTATAATATAGACATCTGTAAATACTCCGAACCAAGTGCAATTATAGCCCAGAGTTTATCTTATTTCATTTTATATTTATCTTAATTTTATTGTCTACTATCTTAAATAATAGACTTTGATGTGTGCAATCTGAGTGCTCTTATTTCCTTTCTCTGCTGTAATGTGCAACGAAGACACTGAGATTTCTCCACTGTGAGACTAATAAAGGTTTATCTTATCTTATCTTAAATCTCTAGCTTTTGCATAATAAAGAAGCTAGTATAAAATCTCTAGCTTTAGCATAATAAAGAAGCTAGTATAAAATCTCTAGCTTTATCATAATAAAGAAGCAAGTAAATAGTGTATATTCCTCGTTCAATCA